AAAGTTGGCAAGGCAGTAGTTGTGCAGTGTTAGGGCATGGGCTCTAGAAACAGCCCCCTGGGTTTGAATCCTGAACACACCATCTGCTGGATATAGGCATGAACAGAGAAGAGCTACCTCAACCCCTGTGGGCCTCAGTTTCCTCATCTGTGAAATGGAAATAATAATAGAGGCAACTTCAAAAGGTATTTGTCATGTGTAGAGGAGTTAACCCCACAAGCATTGGGCACCTGGCAAGGACTCGCCATTTATTTGCTGTTATATATAGTGTCTTAAGAGCTTAAAATGACATAAGAGGAAAGACAGAATTTTACACTTGAAACTTCTGGTTGTACTGGAAATATTTCAGCATATAAAATGGCTGAAAAAGTAAGCAAGGCAGATCAAAGCCACTCAGCACTCTTGGAGAGTGTTAATTCAGTTCTTCTATCTGGAAAAAATAGATACATCTTAAAATTCTGGATTCTGTAGAAGCCATTGAAACTTTACTGTAGTTAAGTTACTGAATAAAAATCTAGCACAAAAAAGTATGTTTGGACAGAAAGCTTTTGCTAGAGGTTTTTGTAAGTACAATAAGATTAAGACATATTCTTAAGAACTTCACATAAAAGACATGAAGTGAATGTATATTTTTATACAATTTCCAAATACACTACGCTGTGGTATATTTTCTTCCAGTAAGGGTAATACTTTTTTTTTATATACTGCTAATTTAATCTGCATCAGAATTCACAAATTTTGACTATTTATTTTTGAGACAGAGTCTCGCTGTATTGCTCGGGCTGGAGTGCACTGGCATAATCTTGGCTCACTGCAACCTCTGCCTTCCAGGTTCACGAGATTCTCTTGTTTCAGCCTCCTGAGTAGCTGGGATTACAGGTGTGCACCGCCATGCCTGGCTGATTTTTGTGCTTTTAATAGAGACGGGGTTTCACCATTTTGGCCAGGCTGATCTCAAACTTCCGACCTCAGGTGATCCTCTCACTTCGGCCTCCCAAAGTCCTGGGATCATAGTGGACTATTTTAAAATAAGGGTTTTTGCAAATATCCTTCATTGGGTGACTGGTTAACCAAACTGTGGTACCTTCATATCATGGAATACTATTCAGCAATAAAAAGTAAAAAGCAATTGATATACATGATAACTTGTATGGGTCTCAGAGGAATTATACTTAATGGAAAAAGCCAATCTCAAAAGGTTATATGCTGTATGTTTTCATTTATATAGCATTCTTGAAATGACAAAATTACAGAGATGGAGAGCAAATTAGTAGTTATCAGGAGTTAGGTTTGGGTATAGAGGCTGGAGTTGAATCTGTGGGGTTTTGTGAGGAATCCTTGTTGATGGAACAGTTTTGTGTCTTGATTGTGGTCATGGTTACACAAATCTACACCTGTGATAAAATTTCACAGAGCTAAATACACACACTCACAAAGTGCATGTAAAATCGGTGAAATCTGAATAAACTCTGTGGATAACACCACTGTCAATTTTTTGCTTTTGTTCTTATACTCTGATTAGTCAAGGCATTACCACTGGAGGAAACTGGGTGAAGGGAACACCCAACCTCCTGCTACATTTTTATGCAATCCCTGTAAATCTATAATTTTCTCTAAATAAAAAGTTAAAAAAATGAAGGATTTGCTTCTTTCTAATTAGATTTTTAACTTGGTTGATTTCCACAATCTTACCATGACAAAATAAGGGAATTCCCTTGCAAGCACTCATGATAATCGCTCAAAAGATGGCCTGACTGTTCTGAGAATGTGAGCATCCAACAGTCAGCAACTGCATCCGATGCCCAAATTTATACATTCACTGTACTCTACCACTACCAGATGCGTATTCAATGGATGAGAACTTCATGTATAACTGAATAAAATCTAAAAAAACAATCCAGAATCATTTTTCCACAGACTTTGAGAACTTAGCCAACATGACCCAGTATGTTGCATTTTGATCACAGCCCATCTTCTGAGGCCTTTTGATCATATTGAAAGTAAAATTGAGCGGTCATTCATCTAAATCTTTGTTCCATGTCGTACCAGCTCCGCTATCACTATTCCTGTAACCTTCCTATCTCAGCCAGGTGCAGAACAGGGAGGTGGATGCATTTAGTGTGCAGCAGGCTGTACAGAACTTGGACATCCCAACCAGGTGGAAGTTGTCTCAAAGGGGGCCTTTGTTGACAGTGGCTGCTAATGAGCAATGAGTACAATTTGAATGTGTGTGATACACAGTATCCACATTTTGGATTTGAGTTTTGAGTTTTTTTCCCCTATTGTGGTTCAAAACCTGGCAAACTTTATACCCCCACATTTTAGTTAGTCAGTTGGTTGGTTAGTTATAGCCAGCAGTGCTTTTAGTTTAGAAAACAGTATGAAAATTTTGCTATGGATTTATGGGTCTTTACGTAACATACAAGTATTCGCAGAGGTGTAACCATTTTTGATGTGAGAAGGAATGTGTCCTTAGGGGATCTGTGGCTGAGAGCTGGGTTGTTTCACAAGTTTAAGGGCAGTGCTTATGTAAGAATACATGTAGCATACAGTATTTAGCAGGATGCTGTGCATAAAAGGACACCATCTTCTGCATCTGTGTGTCACTTGAAAGTTTTCAGATCAGTTTATGTGCATCTTCTAGTTTTTACAAAATTCAAACAAGGCAGGATTTTTTTTTATCAAATAGAAAAAAAGAAAATGAGAAAGATTATGACTTACTCAAGGTCACCACCACAGGAAATGAGGAATCAAGAACTATTCATGAAATATTGGCTTTGGTGCTTGTTTTACTAGATCTCACCACCTCTGTACACTTGATACTAAAGAAATATGATAAATTCCATTTCTTTTCCTGTTGGATACAGAAATCTGAGGGTAGCTATGCTTATTGTGAGATTTGGGTTTATTTTCTGCCATCATATACTTCTGTGGGTGAAAGGTTAATAATAACCATTTTCTCATAGAACTAGATCATAGAAGGCAATACTGCCGACTGAATAGTGCTTGGTCCTAATTTTTCATTCAGAAGAATCAAAACTTTCTTGTTTTAAATAACCACTTATATTTCAGTGGTTGGATTAACCTACTCCTTGCTACTTTCATTGGTCAGATAATCTCTCCAGTTGAGGAACTGCTCTACCTAGGGCGAGAACCCAGTAGATAATGTCTCAGTAAATAATAAAATGATAAATATTAAACATTAGAACAATAAGATAATAAAAGTCATGAGTACAGCCCTCTCTGTATTTCTTCTTGATGTATATCATGTTGCTTGTTTTCTCTTTCTTGTCGTAGATTTTTTTTTTCGGTCCATTATGTTACCGTAAATCAAAATAGCCCTATCATTGGGACCAAAATTACTTTGACTGATGTAGAAAGGTTTTTAATGACAAACATTACTCTTAAATAAAGTGTTTTTAAACTAAGTTTTTCCTTTGCTTTATTTAAAAAACTATGTAAATGATTTAGGATTTGCATCCTACCCCGGGGACCTGGGAGAATTAATATATTCTCTTCTAGTCACAGTATGACAGCAGCTTGATGGAAACTAGAACCCAGAACTTGATGGTTTATATAAGGGCTAAGGACACAGAGCAATTTATGCCTTTTCTCCATTTAAAAAAAAGAGTCACATTTCACAAGAACGTATTGCAGGACATGAGGAAACAGGAGAGCCTAAAAATGTTGATAATTTGGGTTCTGGTAGCACTGAAATGACTGACATAGAGAAGAGCCTGTCTGTAAGGAACTGGACACCTTGGCTTGGTCCTAACGAGAGAAAGAAAATATTCATGTTTGCTGGACGTGATGGTAGGTAAACTATTGATTGACAAACAAAGGAAATTTTTACTTTAAGTGAGGGCAATATTGATAGATTCAAAAACAGCTCATAATTGCTTTTTACTTTTGTATTTTGCCTGAATCCATCTAGATACTGTGAGAAGACCCGCCTTTTCCTCTGATTCCACAATCAAGTGTTTCTCTCTCATTTGTTTTGTCAAAGACATTACACTTTAAGTCTATGTAGGAAAGAGTATCCAGTCTTCTTATTTTCTATTTTTGGCCTTCATGCTTAGAATTCCCTTATTTCAAAAATATCTTTTTGGGGAAACCCAAACAATGTGCTAAAATTAATACTCCAAGAGGAAATGAACTGGAGTTGACCTTTACTGCTTCCTGCTCCTTGTTCCTGCTATTTTAACAACTTTCTCAAAAATGGCACTCATCCAGCTCTGGTCTCATTATCAGAGTTGAAGCTGATTTCCTGCCCATGAGATGAAGAAGCAAGGGGCACAGGGCTTTGAACAAAACAAGGGGTTTGGCAAAACTGAGATCAGACAAGCCAGACCCAAGAGTGCATTCGTTTGGTATTTGATTCCATTGACCCTCGAACAGACAAAATGTTTTCTAGTGACAGAGGCAGATCAGTTGAGGCTGGGAAGGGGGACTGGCTGAAAAAGAGCAGGAGAGAATTTTTGGGGTGACAAAAATATCTTATATTTTTATTGTGCTGATAGTTATGTGAGTGTATACTTTTGCTAATGCTCAACGACTGGACATTGACATGGATAAATTTCACTGTATGTAATTTTATCTCAATAATGCTGATTTTTTAAAAATTGCAATTAGAATAAGATTGGGAAGGCATTATTGCCAGCTCTTTCATTATCCTTTAATCTGCCCTCAATTCAGAGAAAATGGTTGTGGTATATTTTGATAGCTACCACCACTTTTTACGTTTCATAAGATTAAAATGTCCATGAACTGCCACTGAAAAACAGCTCACCAAGAAATATTTTCCTACTTAACTAGAGATGTTTGCATTCTGTTTTTCAAGATACTCATGCTCGTGGGTAGAATTACTTATTTTTTTTACTTTACAAATAAAGGACATATTTTATTGCTGTCCTGCTTTAAAAAAAAAGTGTGAATAATTACCCGACAACCCCACATCCTCTTGTTTCAACTCACACCTTTGTATGAGCCTCCTGGAAGATTTTTCTGGTGTGTTCACCCTGTCTTTGTGTGAAAACAGTCATCCAACCCTGGAAATAGGACCTTCAGGAGTAAGACGTGGCTCAAGCTCATCTTCCCCTCTGCCTCTCAGTTATAAAAAGTTCTTATCAGAACTGATTCCTATTTAGTCTCTGCAAATTCTGTTGCAGCGTGGCTTTTTTATCCGTAGGCCCCCTTTTCCTCTTTTCTTTCTTTTTTTTTTTTTTTTTTTGTTAATCAATGAGAGCTTGTTTTGTTGCTCAGGTTGGCCTTGAACTCATAGCGCCAGGACAACTGGCCGGAGCCACTGCAGCTCCCTCCTCTTTTCTTTTTAATCGGCTCAGGGAGACCATCTTATGTTACTCAGACAAGATTGTCAGAAACAGATACAGGTTTATCTGGTGACAAAATGAGTGATCCTTTTGAAAAGCTAGATGATGGCTTCTCTAGTTAGGTTTCTGAGACAAATATGAAAGTCGTGATCATTTTTTGAAATTTAATTTTTAATTGACATCTAATTATTATACATATTCATAGGGTACATAGTGATGTTTGAATATATATAAGGTATAGTGATCAGATGGGGGAGTTAGCATATTTATCATGTCAAATATTTATCATTTCTTTGTGTTGGGAACATTCAGTCTCTTCCTTCCAGCTATTTGAAACTGTATTTATTGCTAGCTATCATCATCCTGCACTGGGACAGAACACTAGAACCTATTCCTCCTATCTAGCTGTAAATTTGTATCCTTCCACAAATCTCTCCCTATCCTTCCCTTCTCCTGCCCCTCCCAGACTCAGGATCCTCTCTTCTACCTCTTACTTCTGTGAGATCAACTAAAAGTTGTAATTTCCTGGCCATCTATTTGGGCCTATTTTGGAGAGACTGTAGCTAATTGTCAACCTTTTAATTAATAGTCAAGAAATCTGAGCTTGTGGATAAAACTAAGAAAGAAAGATGTACAATGTGAGGCCCCAAGACTGAATGCAAGGAAAAATAAAAAGAGGAAAGCCGTTGCACAGAGTATCCCATGAGTGGGCATGAACAAGTGTTGACATACACGCACGGGGGCATAATGAGGCCTTCCAGGCCCTGGAATGTGCAGATACCTCTGGAGTGCACTCACTGACAGGAGGATTCAATCCGTGAAAACAAGCTGGGTTTACTTTGCTGCCATAGGAGAAAGGTGTGTGTTTCACCATTTGCCTTATGGATCTGAAAAACATTAAACCAGGTAGGATTTCAGAATTTAAATGAAGTACACAGCTCTGTTTTTTCCAGCACCAAACTCTGGAAGTGTAATGCATTGTAAGGGAAGTGATTTAGTGTCTTTTTTTCTGTTAAACCACGAAATTACCAAAGACCATTGACTCTTACCCAAAATAAGACCAGTGCCCACAGGGGCGTGTGTGTGTGTGTGTGTGTGCCGTGTGCATACTTGGATAGATAGTATTCTAACAAAGTCAGCCTTGGGATTTGACTTGCTCTTAAGGCTCACAGTAGAAGAGTGAAACTGAATTTCTCTTCCTCCCTCCAGCTTTCTTTGTTTTCTTCTAGACTTGCCCTTTGGAAAAAACACTGAACAGTGCCATACATGGTATTTCCTGGGTAATGTCATTGGCTGTGAGCTTTGTTTATTAATCATGACCTCAGGGCACTGAGAGATCTTATATGGCTTCCCCTTACGCCATACAGATTTTACACGCATGCATCTCTCTCTCTCTCTGTCTCTCAAACTTTCTTTTTCCTTCATTTTGGGTTGTGTCTTTCCTTACTCCTAAAGGAGAAGGCAGGACAGATGTCCCCTCTACATGTATCCACAGGTCTCATACCTTCCTATGTTTTTTTCACTTTTCTTTTGGTTGTGAGTTTTTGATAGGGGTAGGGGTGAGGGGTGTAAGGGATAAATAAAGGACTGAAGCAGAAAAATGCCAGAAAGGTCCTTTTGGGAATTCTGTTTTGTTTTGTTTTTAAACAGGCGAGAGAAAGTTGAGTTGTTAAAGGGGAAACAGTACGCAGTTGAAACTGTTAATGAGCCTGCGGTCAGAGCCAGCAGAATTTGGTTGTTAAGGATGATGCTCTGAAATTTCTTATTACTCAGTCCTGGTCTCCCTGCCTCCCACCCTTCCACCCTTCCACCCTCCCGCAACCACCTCCCCACCAGGGCAGCACATCGAACAGGCTAAGGTCCAAGGCATAAGGGCTTACATCAGTAACTTTAAAACTATTTTAAAAATCAGATGTCATCATTTACTCCTTTAGAAATCATTGCTACACAAAAGCCGGGCACTGAAGTTCCTCAGACATGGCCAACTTGTTGGTTGACATGTGTTGATATACAACTAATCCTTAGGTCAGTAAAGGCTAATGATAGGGACTGTTGGTTATGTGTAAGCCTAAGTATTAGGCTCAAATAAGAATAGGATCATACATTTCTTCTTAAATTATCTTAATCTAACAGGGAGATTTTGCAATTATTGGCATATATATTAATCAGTAGCGATTAGTCATCGGTGTTCACTCATGATCTGTGACCTGCTTCTATATCATGGTATATCTGGGAGCTGTAATAAGAAAGTTGAAGAACTCCTCTTGGAGCTTACCCTCTAAGGCAGGAGGACAGAGGTGCAAATTTCATAGCCTTGCAGATACATTTTTCTAAAAACGCAGACCCGAGATAGGTATGTAGCCACTGTTAGTGGTAAGCAACCGTAATTTGAATGAATATGTAGATCTTGAATAGTAAATTGCATGTTAAATTACTTTTTAAGGAACTTGTGCTTCTCTGACATGCATTTTAGACATGGCTTAGTGTCTTTGGGGTCCTAGGTCTGTGGGGCAGTCTGTCCTTTGCTTTGAAGTCATTAGTGCTGGGCTGCCTGAATCCTTGTCTTGTTGAATTTCTGAACCCTGACCTTACCTGCTCCTAGGCTCTTTAGGGCCCTGGTACTATTGTTACATTTAACAAGTGCCTGTTAAGAATAATATTTGTTGAGTGAATGTAATCCCTGGAATGGATAGAAAATATTTTGCTATCCCTTAGCCTGATGATAAAAGGTAGTTTTATAATAGAACAATCCTCTTGCATGTATTTTTATTTTGATTTGGTTTTGTCTTCAGCTTAGGGATAGTTGTAGGAAAACATTTTGGTTTTCTGTCTTCCTGCATTTCTGTTCAATGAGCTGGTTTTCCTTTTGGTTCAAACTTGGCAGGACAAGGCTACCCTGTTGAGTTTGGTGCACTGGGTGTGCAGAGGTGGTTTGGTCTCCGGAAGGGAAGACTGGTGACTGAGCTGCAAAGGTCGTGCACTTGTCTGCTGGGAGCCCACAGCTGTTGAACACACTCACCTGTGATTGACAGGGCACTGGCACAAGTGCCAGGGAGGGTGATGGCAGAGAGGTGGGCGTGTGGGGTCAGAAGAGAAAGGAGGAAAGGTCAGTTAGTGGGCCACAGATTGTCCGAGCTATTATTGTCAGGGCGTTTTGAGGGCCCTGGACTCTGTGCCCTGTGTGCCAGACAACATTGATTCAAATGGCTAAATGTCAGCATGGTTCTTAACCAAGAATTGGAAGCCTTCCAGGGCCTCTTAAGCCAGACTTTGTAGCTTTTCTTTTCTGAGCAGCTTCTCCTTCCCTGGCCTCCCAAGCATCGTAATTCATGCCGTGAAGTCTTCCGTTCTGTCCTTCTGGGCCCTGGGGTGCAGCTTTTAGGGTATACGTTCAGAGCTATAGCAATATCTCCTCTTTATCTTGGGGTTCTTTCCTTGTCCTCCTCTGCCAGCTAGGTGAACAGTGGGGAGCTGGAAGCCAGTGGAGGGGCTGGAGGGAAGGTGGTGAAAGGCATGCTCCGAGGTATCTGGCTTTGGGTTTTTATAGAAGTTGATAGCATTGGGCTTAGTGACCACAATTCAATTATAAGCACCACGCAGCCATCCTGAGTGACTATATACTTGAAGGCGGCTGTATTTTCGTTAGCCTGGCCTGATGGATTTTTAAGTATATTCACCACATACATTCACACAAAGGGGAAAATTTACTGCCTAAACAGAGGGACCTAAATCCCCCAGGCTAAATAAACCCAATGAAAACACAAAAACTGCATTTACAGGCCTCCCAAAGATAAGAATTCAGCCTTTAAAAAGGTTTCTTCAAATGAAAAATGGATGGCTGAGCTGCTAATGTCCCAGTAACCGAGGAATTTATGCTAATAAATAATGCTCGGGGATCTCAGGTAAGTTTCACTTTCTCGGAATGGAGGCTTTTCATCACTGGTTTCTGCACAGTTCTGGGCCTGGACGATCTCGTCAGTGGCCTTGGCAAGTTAACGATCACCATAGAGAACAGATTGTCTTAGCAGTTTTTGTGTTGCTTCTAGGTTTTTTTGTTTTTGTTTTGCATGTCTGTGTGAGTGTGTGTGTACATGTGAGAAAAAGAGGGAGTTGTTTATGTGTGGCTGTCTGTGGGAGGAGAGGTATGGGCCAAGTTTGGGGTGTGTGTGTGTGTGTGTGTGTGTCCCTAGCATTTCCCTATTGGAATTTGGTTGAAGTGAGACATTTAAGAGAATTGACTTCTTCTTAAACTTAGCGGGGAAATGTGTCTTCCTCTTAAACTTACAGTAAGAGTTAGGAAGTTAAGAATTTACTTGTGTGATTACTCCTGCATGTTTCCCTGTGGAAACAGTTTATATACTGGGACAAAAGTGAGGCAACAGGTCTCCCCTGATGTGTCCTCAGTCTTCTGATAGTATTGAAGGTCCCGGAACTCATCACCAGTAAATCTCACCTCTGTATTAAGGATAAGTTACAAAGATGTTCATGAGTCAACTTGCAGGTGAATCTGTGCCTCTCTTGTAAGTCATCTGAATATGATTTCAAAATATAGATGCCAGGTAGAGGGTGGGTGCGGTGGCTCACACCTGTAATCCCAGAACTTTGGAAGGTCAAGGTGGGAGGATCACTTGAGGCCAGGAGTTTGAGACCAGACTAGCCAACATGGTGAAACCCCATCTCTACTGAAAAAACAAAATACAAAAATTAGCTGTGTGTGGTGGTACGTACCTGTAGTCCCAACTATTTAGGAGTCTGAGGCAGGAGAATTGCTTGAATCTGGGAGGCAGAGGTTGCGGTGAGCTGAGATCATGCCACTGCACTCCAGCCTGGGCAACAGAGCAAGACTCTGTCTTCTAAATAAATAAATTCTTAAATAAAATATATATGCAAGGTAGGGAGTGCGGTGAAGGAGGGGTTAACTACAAAGGGGGCAAGGGAATGAGGTCATGAAACTGTTCTATATCATGGTTGTTACATGGCTGTATGCATTTGCCAAATCTCACAGAACCATATGTTGCAAAGGTGAATTTTACTATATGTAAATTATAACTCGACAGACTTGACCTCCCTAAAGCTACAAAGAAAAGAAGAAAGAAGAAGTAATACTTTTTCATATCCCCTTGCTGCTTTGCCAGCCAGCAAGCCATCTGTGTGATGCCCCCTCTCAAAGGAAGGGCACCACGTAGTCAGCACCAACCTATGAGCTCATGATGCCAGGAAAGCTGTTCTTGAAAAAGCAGAGATGGTGTGTGTTTCCTTCTGGGGGAGATGACTTAGCTCTCCAGGTAGCAATGCCCTTGTATGGTTAGCACAGGTAGGGAAATGCCTAGCTTCGTGCTGACTCACCAGGTAGAAAATCATTTCTCTGAATGAGTCAGAATCACAAATATGTTCTGAACAGTCTCATGTGTCCTGCGTGGGGAAGGGCCCAAAGTACCAATCAGAATGCCTGTCTGCAGGTCTCACTGGCCCTATATGGGCACATCTACAAGCCATGGCTGTCTCATTTTCCCAGAATGATAGTGGTAAATTCAAGCCCTCTAACTTACCTAATTGCATTCTCTGATACAGGAGATACTTTTAAAAAAATATATGCTTTGTTTATTCAGTTATAGGTAAACCCAGTAATGGTGAAATAAAATCCTTCAATGTTAAGTGTATTCCTGGCCATTTAGAGAAGAGGAGTGTGTGTGTGTGTGTGTGTGTGTGTGTGTGTGTGTAAGGATACAGTTAAAACAGACTTGGGTAATGTAAAATACCACAGAAAGTAGGGGTTTCCAAGGAAAACATGGGGGAAACTCTGTATGAGAATCTAACGTATGCTATAGCTTTTTAAAAGGAAACATTAATAGTGAAACATGCCCTCACAGGGCAAGCTAGTAATAAATTTTGTGTCAGAAATTACC